GCCAGGAGTAATTCCTGAGTGCATGAACCAGGAGTAGCTCCTGTTCATCGCCGGGTGTGACCCAAAAAGCACGTCTGCTGCACGTCTGGTAAAGGCACTAACCGCTGTACTGTCACTGCACCACTCCACTCCAGATTCTGTTTCTGACTCCAATATGGTCCACTGAGCACCAAGCCAGGAGTAGCTCGAAACACAGCTGGGAGCAGACCCCAAACCAAAAAGAACCAAGACCAGGAATGTGATTCAGTCCTTTGCATGTGTATGTGTGTGTGTGTGTGTGTGTGTGTGTGTGTGTGTGTCTGTCTGTCTGTCTGTCTCTGTCTGTGTAGCTGAGTTCTGTTTCCTCCCACTGCTGGGGAGGGGAAATTTCAATCTTTGGTCTTTGCTCTGTTATACATTCCTGGAAAATTCCATGCATATTAAATTGAAAAAGGCGTTTTTCCTTCCTTCCTCATTTATTTATTGGTTGTCATACATTCCTGGAAAATTCCATGCATATTAAATTGATAAGGGCGTTCTTCCTTCTTTCACTTCTCTTCTTTATTTTTGGTCTTGGGGGTCACACCAAGCTGTGCTTAGGGGCTGTTCCTGGCCCCTGGTGGTAATTAGAGGACCACATGTGATACAGGGATTTGAGCCAGGGCTGGGACTGAATAAATAGCCACTGGCAGTCTGGGAAATAGGTTTCCTACTCTAGGAATCTTGGTGGCCTGTCCAAAGGTGGCCATGCTTCAAATCTAGAACAAGGGCAAAATCACCTCATGTATTTCACAAAAACTGTTTCCTCATTGTTGTTTTCTTTTGGGTCATACCCAGCATGCTCAGGGGGTTACTTCTGACTCTGCACTCAGGTATTACTCCTATCGGTGCTTGGAGGGACCATATGGGATCCTGGAACTCAAACCCAGGTCAGCTGCATGCAAGGCAAACCCCCTACCCCCTGTACTATCGATCAGGCCCCGTTTCCTCATTGTTAACTGCATGACTGAGGTTGAAATGCACTTTGCTGAGGATATTGTGGAGGGATCTGTGGATCTGTCAGCTCTGCGGGGACCCTACTCTGGTCTCCCAGGGCCTCCCAGAGTGCAATGCTCTGGTGCATTGTAATTACTGATGTGTGTGTGTGTGTGTGTGTGTGTGGCGGGGGTGGGGGGTGGGGGGCTGTTAGTCACACCCAGCAATGCTCAGGGGTTACCCCTAAAATCATTCCTGGACTAGGGTACCATATAGGATGCTGGGGATTGAATCCGGGTCAGCTGCATGCATAGCAGAAGCCCTACCCATAATGGGCCTTTTATTTTATTTTTTTTTTCCTTTTTGGGTCACACCTGGCAATGCACAGGGATTATTCCTGGCTCTGCACTCAGGAGTTACTCCTGGCGGTGCTCAGGGGACCATATGGGATGCTGGGAATCGAACTCAGGTCGACTGCGTGCAAGGCAAACGCCCTACCCGCTGTGCTATCTCTCTCCAGCCCCTGATGGGCCTTTTAAAACTGTCACTTGCAAAATGACTTATGAATCCTGTTTGGGAGCCAGAGAGATAGTACAGTGGGTAGGGAGTTTGCCTCACATGCAGCTGACCCGGATTCAAGACTCAGCATCCCATATGGTCCCCAGGACCCACCAGCAGTGCTTCCTGAGTGCTGGGCCAGGAGTACCCCCTGAGCATTGCCAGGTATGCCCCCAAACACAGTCTTGGATAGTCCTGAGACAGAGATTCTGCGTAGCCACATGCCACACATGCAGTCCTGAGTCCATGTGGAGGCCTTTCCTGGGCATCACCAGCAACCTGGCCTCCGCAGCACACTGCCTCTTATGGACCTGTCCTGAGGTAGCTTCTGGGACGGCTCAGACTGCAGCTTGCATGTCTCCAGAGCAGGGCAAGAGGCACAATTTGCATTTGCCTGGTTTCTGCTGGACAGTCAGCAGCAGCTGATCTCATGATTCACTCCCTGGCAGCCAGACCCCAAGGCCGGACAGGGGGTCTGTGCCCCAGTTAGGAGCCCCGCAGACGGGGTCGTGGTCCTGGAGCTTCCAGTCCGAGAGGGTCTGTCCAGCTCCAGTCCAAGAGGAGACAGCTCCAGCTCACAGCAGCCAGAGAGCTCGAGTAAGGGTAGTCCCCCAACAAAACCCAATCAGCAGGAACCTGACTGATCCTGACCCTTCCCATTACTGCTGTTTCCCAGAACTACAACTTAAATGACCTCAGCTGTGTCTTCAGAGACGCCCCCTCCACCCTGCTCCAAGTCTGCATTACTGCTTCCTCACTAATGACCACTCTCAGCTGTTCTCTAGTGACTTCTTACGAGGGTAGGTAAAGATTTTCAGTTGTGTATAATCCCACCCCCTTCCCCCCGTGGGTCCATATTCATGTCCCAGTTCTTTTCTTGAATCTGTCGTCAGCATCTTGAGTCATTCAATGGCTTACACATGGCTCACTTCCGAGGCAAACAATGCATGCCGAGCTCATGTACTTTTTAAAAATACTTTTCCTGCATAGGTTGAATTGCTAATTGCATTGCCTCATTTTTCATTTTCAATTGTATGGAAATAATTGGTTATTTCCCCACCTACCAAATACTCATTGAGGTACGTCTGAATACTATTTCCTTTAAGTTTATGTGTGTGAGGGGCATTTTTTTCGTGATACTCAGGGCTCACTTCGTGGCACTGATTTAGTATTGGGCTACACCTACCCCTGGCTCTACACTCAGGGATCACTCCTGATGGCCTGGAGGACCATAAGGAATGCAGCGATCAAACCCTGGTTGTCTGCACGCAAGGCAAATCCCTACCTACTATATGTCACTCCAGCCCCTCATTCCTGGCAATGTTTAGAGGAACCATAGGCAGTGCCTGTACTATCCCTCTGGCCCCTTGCAATGCTGTTCTTCACATGGACAAAACCACCAGGATCTGTCAATAATCTCTGGGTGTATGTACCCTGCCTCCCCACACACATCTGTGATAGTTCACACAGAGACAGCATTCTGCTGCTGAGGATTCTATCATTCAAAGCCTGCAGTAGGGGCCAGAGAGAGAGAGAGGACAGTGGGGAAGGCATTTGCCCTGCATGCAGCTGACCAGGTTCCATTCCTGGTACCTCCATGGTCCTCGGAATCCTGGAGGAGTGATTCTCGAGAACTGCAATTCTCAAAGTAACTGCAGCCTTCCGACAGCAGCACCGCTGCTAATGGGATATGCTTTTATGTTGTATGTAGAGAAATTTCTTATAACCCAATATGCTACTGGGATGTCAGACCAGATCTGTCTTGCAGGTGCACATGGCTGTCCTGGGCATCGTAGGGGCTAGAGCAGCAGCCCTGGCCTTGGTGATACTACTAGCACCTTTCCAGTCACAACAGCTCAAAGGACTTTGACAAACTGCCCAGTGTCCCCGAGGGAGGCCACATCTTCCGGGCACCGCTGCCGTCTCAACTCCACAGACGCCTCATTTGCCTCCCTCGGATGGCTGCTCCTACCTCGGCCCCCAGTCACTGTCACTGTCCTGTTGTTCATATAGATTTTCTTGAGCAGGCCCAGTAATGTCTCCATTGAGAGAATTGTTACTGTGTTTGGCATATCGAATATGTCAAAGGTAGCTTGCCAGGCTTTGCCGTGTGGGCAAGATACTCTCGGTAGCTTGCCGGGCTCTCCGAGGGGGGAGGAGGAATCGAACTCGGTTCGGCCGTGTGGGCTGCGGGCAAGGCAAACGCCCTACGCGCTGTGCTATCGCTCTGGCAAGCTACAGAGAGTATCACGCCTGCATGGCAATGCCTGGCAAGCTAACCGTGACATATTCAATATGCCAAAAACAGTAACAAGTCTCACAATGGAGACGTTACTTGTTCCTGCTCGAGCAAATAGATGAACAACAGGAGTACAGCCCCCAGTAGCACCGAGCAAAATGCTGGGTCCATCTTGGGTGACTTGTCTTGTCTGGACGTGTCTAGTCACTCACACACAAACAAGGTTTTTAAAATTCTTTATTAATAAAATTTATAAAAATGAACATTTAAGAATAAATCTCACAATTAACTTTTCTGTTTCCAAATACAAAATTTCCATCCGCACTTAACACTCAAAATGGGAGCATTCTCTACACAGAATTTCATTCGTTGAAATGGGGGGTGGGGTGGGGGAATCAAGGCAAAATTAAGGCGTGATTACAGGCATGATAGATAACCTTGAGGTCATGAGTAAAGCGATCTCGGTTAGATTTCTGAGGTGAAGGTCGCCCCACAGCACCCTTGGGAAAGTGATTCCTATGCGCGGTTGGAGTGGGGGGCAGCGTGCCTGGGTCTGCCAGAAATGCAGGCACTTGGATATTCTTGTACTTCCGGGCCAAACCCCGGCAAAGACAGATTCTGACAGGGCGCACCTGTGTGATGCCACCATTCTTCCCTTTCCTGGCTAGAGGTGGCCCGCCTCAGTTACCCTCCGTGTGACAATCCCTCCTGCTTCTCCCAAGCACTCTCATGCCCAGGTGCCCTCTGCGGGGATGAGTCTTGTTCTGTCTTTGCCCGGAGCACACTGGGCTTGAGTCTCTGGTCTGTGATGGACAAGACGAGGACGTAGAGTCTGAAGACTTCCTGGTCAAGGGTCCATGTTCCAAAGTCCATGACCAAAGTTCCCATGGTCCCCAGAATGACATTCGATCTTAGTAGCAGGAGGGGAATGAAAAGCAAACAGAAATTTCTCTACATACAACATAGACCAGTTGCCCCCGTCTTCCTTCTAAGGGCTTGGGGGGTCTTCTGGACATCATCACTGGGTCAAAAGCAGGACAAAAGAAAATGTTCTAAGGTCTAAGTCGATCTCTCTAGGACAACAATTACATCTAAAAAGTGGAAAAAAAACAAACAAAAACCCACCAAAAAAAAAAAAAACCCCAAAAACCAAAACCAAAAACAAAACAACAAAAAAACCACCTTAAAACCATCTTGAACATTGGATCTTTCTCTCTCTCTTACAGTCAAGGGAAGAAAGCCAAGAGTCCACCGGTAGCTCTTCCGGCCCTCGCAGGAGACTCCGGCATCCCTCAGTCATCCTCGCCGCCCCCGTACATGTCGGCCAGTTTCTTAAAGCGGTTGCCCCACTCATTCAGGTAGTCGTAGTCCTGGTCCTGGTCCGAGTCTGAGGAGTTCAGGGAGCTGAGGGAGGCCGCATCAGAGCCGCTGCCCTCGTAGTCGAACACCAGCAGGGAGTCGTAGGGGGGCGCCGTGGGGTCCGTGTCGGCCGCCTTCAGGTTCTGCGGGAAGGAAGACAGAAGAGTCTTTCGGCAAGGGCACGGCACACCGGTCACCCTGAGGCCTTGCCAACTTCTCCGAGCCCCCAGCAGGTCCATGTGCAAAGCAGGGAAACAGAGGCTGGGCACACAGACTACATTTCAGTCTGGAAAGAAAGTTCTGGAAAGGGGCTGGAGTGATATAGCACAGTGGGTAGGGCATTTGCCTTGCACGCGGCCAACCCGGATTTGATTCCCAGGATCCCATATGGTCCCTGAGCACTGCCAGGAGTAACCCTTGTGCAGCGCCGGGTGTGACCCAAAAAGGAAAAAAAAAAAAAAAAGAAAGAAAGAAAGTTCTGGAAGCTTGAATGCCCAAACCCTGACTTTGGAGAGTATGGCCCGTGGAACTGATGAACTTGCAACTTTGTTCTTTATATACAATTTCAGATTTCCTGATCTATAAAACAGTCAACATATTGCTTGTTTGGGGGGGGGGGGGGTGTCGCACCCAGTGATGTTCAGGGCTCTCTCCTGGCTCTGTGCTCAGGGGTCATTCCTGGTGGTGCTCAGCAGACCATTCGGATGCTGGGACAGCCGCATGCAAGGCAAACACCCCACCCACTGTACTATTGCTCCGGGCCCTGGCAATTATTTTTGATGAATAAAAGCTATGATCAGATGGGATGATATGCAAGTGAGGGTCACTTCCATCACTGCTGCGTCGACACCCCTCCACGGGAAGCTCGAGCAGGTCAGCCCCACCGTGATGACTAAAGAGAACTACCAGGCCAACCAAGCCCTGATAATCATTCAAGGGCTCAAAAGAGAAAGTACGGGACTAAGGTAGGATTAAGGCGTTTGCCTCTCATGCAATGGACAATCAAGATTCAATCCCCGGCACTGCATCTGTCCCCCGAGCACTGTGGGGAGTGACTCCCAAGCACAGAGCTGGCGGTAGTTAGTAAGCACTGCCAGGTGTGGCCTCAACAATTACCACCCCCCCCACACACACACACATACACACTCCCGAAACCATCACTCCAGTATCTGACCAAGTGACCAGGCAACAGCTGAAGGGCAGACATGCTGAGGGACTTTGCTCTTTTTCTATCCATGTCTCTCGTTCATCCTCATCTAATTAATCTGATTCCCATCCGCCCTTACAACAGGACAAACTAGATCGGCTTTAAATCTTTCATCTCATTTCTACTTCTGCTGCATCCTTTCAAGCAACTCCTGGTGTGGCCACATGGATTTCTGCAAATTCACTACAACTAATGCTCAGTGCTGTTAGTTCTGAAATCAAGGGCAGGCACCAAAAAAAAAAAAAAAAAAAAAAAAGGGCACAAGAGTCCTGAAAAGAGAAAACATGGCTTAGGAAAGGGTCCAAACAAAGACTCCTCTTGGTTTCGGGATGAGTGGCATCTTGGCTTTTTTTGGCCGTTACTTACTTCATCAATGAAGTTTCCAATTTCGTCTGGATTCGCAGGACGTGGCCGATACTGGGGCATGGTCAGGTGAGTGGGCGCCACGTCGTTGCGAGTCACTTCGGGCCGAGCATCCAGGCCTCTGTGCAACTGGCTCAAGTCAAAGTCCTTTGGGAGAAAAAAGGAGAGCGGGGAATGAGACACACGGGGGAACTGCGCAGTATTTATGATCACGAGCCGATGTTACCTGAGAGCTTTCAAACCCAGAGTCCAAACAAAATAGCACTGGGTGGAAATACAATTCTCCCACTCCATGAGAACATGTGTGAATAAAGATGTAGATTACGCAGCAAATTGACTCATGATTTAATGGAAGTTTATATTCTAAGAACATTGAGAATGGACCAGGAATGGAGTAAATGGAGAGAATGGAATAAAAGGTCAATCCCCGGCTCTTCAGAGTCCCCCAAGCATCGCCAGGTGTGGCCTTCAAAATAGACAGGGTGTGGGGGCTGGAGCGATAGCACAGTGGGTAGGGTGTTTGCCTTGCACGCGGCCAACCCGGGTTCGATTCCCAGCATCCCATATGGTCCCCTGAGCACCGCTAGGGGTAATTCCTGAGTGCAGAGCCAGGAGTCACCCCTGATCATCGCCAGATGTGACCCCCCCCCAAAAAAAAAAAATAGACAGGGCTCGCACGTCAAGGCAGATACCTAGCATGTAGCTGAGCCCAGGAGCCCTGAGCATCGTTGGCCGAAGTCATCCCACACCACAAGGCCCAGGCAGTACCACATCCTCTGACCTTCACACTGAGTGACTAGCCCGGCCAGCCAAGCAAAGCCAGGAGGGACCCCCTGAGCACAGCTTGGGAGCCCCTCCGCAAAAACACCAACAGAAAGAACGATGAGGGTTGAGGATGTGGCTCAGAGGGAAAAATAAGAAGCCCAGGTTCCATTCCCAACAACAACAAAAAAAAACGCATGTGTGCGCGCACACACACACACACACACACACACGCACACGCACGCACACACACACACGCACGCATGAGCATGCACATGCACACACACGCATAAGAACACGGTGCTCTGTGGGGTAGAGCACATGCTTGGCTGGTCCTGGACACTGCCTGGCCCCAGAGCACCACAAAGTGTGGCCCCTGCAACAACAGTAAGAATCACAAAAACCGAATTGGTAGTCGAGCCCCGTTGCTACTGCTTCGAGCTCCAAGTCTGTGCAAGTTGCCAAGTGGCTCCAGGCCTGTGCGTTGTTCTGTTGCAAAGCCATCAGCAGGCCAGCCCAAGCGCCAGGGAGTGCGGTCTGCCTTCCTGGGCAGCCCTGAGCTATTTCAAGCACCCGCCTCCTCCCAAGCGATGCCACCTGAGCCCCACCTGGTCCTCTTCGCCGCCTCCTTCTTCGTCGTAGTAATAAACGTTGTCCCGGGTGTCGTCCTCGGGCGGCAGTAAGGGCTCTTTGACCACCGTCCTCCTCCGGATAAACAGCAGCAGCAGCAACAGCAGGACTGGACAGGAGAGAGAGCCGAGGTCAGAGACAAAAAGCCACCCCCGTGGCCAGCCAGCACAGGGCCCGCACGGACGCTCACGCCCTGCCGCTGAGATGCAGGTAGACGGAGCGGGTGACTGCATGCGAGTCCCCCAGCTCTGGGGAAAGTGCTCCAGGCGGAGACAGGCACGGGGTACAGACTCTAAAAACCTCCTGCTATGTTCTTTCTCTTGCTTTTGGATAGAGTCATGGGGAGAAGCGTTAGAGCTCGCTGCACCTCCCAAGCATATTACATGCATCTGGGGGACTTGCAGGCGCTCGGACCAAGCACTGTTTCTGTCTCGCCGTCGCGGTGGAAGTTGCTGAATGAGCCCCCACACCGCAGCTCTCTTGACGGTTACCACTCACCCAAATGTGATGTGGCATGAATGTCTCGGGCTAACACTGATGGTTTCTTTGTGTTTGGGGGCCATACCTGGTGGCACACATGGGACCGTCCATGGTCCCAGGTATTGAACCCAGGTTGGTCTCATGCAAGGCAAGTGCCTTAGCCGCTGTCCTCTCTCTGGCCCCAATAATGGAGCTGCTTACTCTGAGGGAACAGCAGAGTCAGTGTTTTCAATGTGGGTCTTTGGACCCAGCCGCCTATATGTGATACCGCAGGAAGGGTTTAATGCCCAGCTGCAGGGAAAGCTTTCTGAGAACTTCCCGCCTCTTCTGAAGCCAGAAAAGAGCCTTAGGACTCATCAGATAAGCTCCTGGCTCAGAAGCAGGAGGGCCCACCCCCGCCTTAGCACCAGGGGGAGAGAGTATGCTAAAGATGAAGGGCCACCTGCCCGTACAACTGACTCAAGGAACCATTCTATGTTACTTAAGGAACAGCAAGCAAAGGCCTGGGGGTGGCTCAAAGGACTGGAACAAGGCCCCCCAGGGGAGGAAACAGAGCCAAACCAAGAATTATTTACCCAACTGTACTCAAACCTAGCACTTACCCCCTGATCCCCAGGTCCTAGCACAAAGCCAGGGATTAAATATTGATTGCTATATAAGCCTCACTGTCTCTCTGGAGACATCCTGTCTCCACAATTCCTAGTTTCAACAATTTGGAGGGGGGGGGGGGTGGCATGGGCTATACCTGGTGGTGATCAAAGGCTACTCCTGCCTCAGTGCTTGGGGGTGGAGGTGGGGTCACTCCTGGTGGTGCTCAGGGACTAAACCCAGCCTCCACCCACTGAACCATCTCTCCAGCCCCCTAGTACCTTTCTTAGGAGTCTGCATTCTATTTTTGCCCGTAAGGAATTGGCATTGCTCCTGAAATGAAAGGCTTCCCACTTAAACATTGTCCCAGAATGTTTTCTAGGTCCCCATGTCTCACCAAAAACACTCCTAGTAAATTTAGGAAAAGCCGTGAAGATAAGGCGATGGGGAGCTACAATCTGGAACGTTTTCCTCAGAATAAAGAACCAGCATGACACGGTTTCATGGCACCCAGCACATTCACACAGCTGATGACTAGACAGGGTGACCGGGGCACGGCCCAGCTTGCCGTGGTGGTGACACAGGACCAGGCAAAGTTCACCTAATCCCTGAAGCCATGTAAGTGACTAAGTAGCCATGTAAAGTCCCGAAACATGCCAGATTCCCTAAGGTAACTCTCTTTTTTCCTCTTCAGTTTAGAGAGGTCATGGGAAGCAGCATTTCGCTGTCAATATTTCCCACCTCTAGTTAGCTGAGGTCACATGACAGAGCCCTTCTCCTCTACCTCCTGCAAAATCAGGGAGCAGAAGAGACAGGCCTCCCCCACCTATTTTTCCCCCCTTTTTGGGTCACACCTGGCGATGCACATGGGTCACTCCTGGCTCATGCACTCAGGAATTACTCCTGGCGGTGCTCGAGGGACCGTATGGGATTCCGGGGATTGAACCCGGGTCAGCTGCGTGCCAGGCAAACGCCCTCCCTGCTGTGCTATCGCTCCAGCCCCAGGATTCCCCCACCTTCAGAGTCCAAGGCTGACCCACTTGCCAGCTATACGTACTCAGCAGGGCGAGGATGCCACCGAGAATGCCCAGGATGGCGGGGACCTGGAGTCCGGCCTCGACGTATGGGCTCAGGCGCTTACAGTTGTTGTTCCCTTCGCAGTCACACACAAACACATCCAACGTGGTCACCTGGTCTTTCTTCTGTTGATCCGCGAGCTTGAGGTTAACTTTGTAATCACCCACCTCCAGGTGTTTCGCAGGCTTCAGAAGGAGAGAATTTCTTTTCTCTGGAGAAAACAACGAAAGTAAAAAGATGTGGTTGAGAGAGAGAGAAGTTCATCACAGCATAAAATCGGAGGGGAGTGGGGATGGGGGTAGGGAGGGTTTGGGGGGGCCAAAACCATTTCAGAGGTGCATCAGGGAAACAGGGTGGGTGGGAGAGATAGTACAGTGGGTCAGACCACGCTTAGAGAGGAGATTCGATCCCCGACACGACACATACCTGGGTTCCATTCCCAGCATCACCCAAACACAGAGCCAGGAACAGCCCCCGTGCTGGGGATGGCCCACCCCTCCAAAAAAGTAAGTAGAAAAAAGTAACGGAACCAGAGGAAGGAAAAGGTGGACTAACACTAACACGGGGGCTGTCCAGGAGGGTTTAGGGTACTCTGGTGGTGGTGAAGGCTCAATACAGCAAAAACAGGCATTAGCACAATTGTACATCAAAAGCAGACATTAGGACTTTTGTAACCCATCTTGCCTATAATAAAAATTCTTAAATGTAAAACAATAGGTGCTACTCCAGGGGGGAGGGCGCTTGCCCGACCTGTGGCCGACCCGGGTTCAATCCCCAGCATCTCATATATGATCCCCCAAGCATCACAAGGAGTAAGTCCTGAGTGCAGAACCAGAAGTGGCCCCTGAACACTGCCCGGTGGGGCCCCAAAACAAAACAACAACAAAAAAGTTTTTTTTAAAAAAAGAAAGAATATACCTCATGATGTCTCACTAATGAAAATTTTTAAAAAATAATAATAAAAAAAAAATAAAAAAAGAAAGAATGAAAGAAAATTCGATCCCCAGAACCCTAGATGGACTCCCTCTGCTAGGAGCAAAAGCAGAATCGTTGCTTGCTGCTCACAGGTGGTGTTGTTGGGGTCACACCCCATAGGTCAAGGGCTTGGCGGGGTGCTTCAAATGCCCAAGGAAACAGGAAAGAGATAGGATGCCCTCAAGAAGGTGAGAGGGCAGGGTGTCCCGGCTGCCACTTCTAAAATCCGGGGCTCCTACCTTCATCAGTGAACTGGATGGTCCAGTTGACACTTGCCCCGTGGGTGAGTTCGGCTGTGAAGGGCTCAGTGTTGGGGGGAAGATCGCGGTCGATGATGTTGATGACCTGCGGGTGTGGGTCCCTCTGGCAGAAGTCCAGCCTGCGGGGGTCTGGCTCGGGGGCATTGTCATTGACATCGATGAGGTGGAGGAGGAGAGTTCCTGTTCCAGTAGCAACCGGGGACCCTACAGCAGAGACAAACACGGAAATTCTGAGTCAACATACCTCCATCCCTGCTGTCTCCTCAGAGGCCCCCAGTCTCAAAGGCTCTGACACGCTCATTCCCCATGTAAGCAATAACCCCCTGCTACAATCCCTCACCCCCTGGGATGACCTCATCCCCCTCCTCAAACTCTCCATCCTAGCACCATCTGGTGCCACCATCAAGAAGTCTTCATTGGGGCTGGAACGACAGCACAGCGGGGAGGGTGTTTGCCTTGCACGCAGCTGACCCTGGTTCGATTCCCAGCGTCCCATATGGTACCCCGAGTACCGCCAGGAGTAGTTCCTGAGTGCATGTAAAAGTAAGTAAAGTAAAGGCCCTCCCATTGATCATCAATTTGCTCGAGCGGGCCTAGTAACGTCTCCATTGGAGACTTTGTTGTTACTGTGTCTGGCATATCGAATACTCTCGGTAGCTTGCCAGGCTCTCCGAGAGGGGCGGAGGAATCGAACTCGGGTCGGCCATGTTGGCTGCATGCAAGGCAAATGCCCTACCCGCTGTGCTATCGCTCCAGCCCTGAGTGCATGAGCCAGGAATAACCCCTGTGCATTGCTGGGTATGACACTCCCCCCCCCAAAAAAAAGACACAGCACAGTCTGCTAGTTATGTTCATATAAATGGATGCAGTTATTTCCTCACACAAAGGACTATGGTACATAAAATGAGCTAATAAAGGATAAAAGGTAATTAAAAAGCAAACCAGGGCTGGAAAGATAGAATTGGAGAACAAGAGGTACGTGCTCAGGAGGCAGTGCGGGCAGAGGAAGCCTCACCGTCATCCGTGGCGATGATGAGGGCCTCGTAGGTGCTATTCTTCACGTACTCTGTGTTCTCTCTGTCCATCTCTGCCAGACAATAAATGGCACCAGTTTCAGGGTTAATCCCCAGCCAATCCGCAGGGTCTCTCCAAATTCGATACCTGAGGAAGAATAAGTTTTGGCTTAGCATGGGAACAACGTAGCAATTAGTTTGAGTGTGTGTTTTCAGCACCGGTAGGTGGCGGCAACACCTGTGATTTACAGTACTGAAAAGACTAAGTATAACAGAAGAAACTGTTAGCTAGTTGAGACAATACCATGTATGCAAACAATCTGAATTCCCACCACACTACACAAACTCATGTGGAGACAGAACAGCTAGAGTGAGTGGGACCTTCTTCTAGCACCTGGCCAACCTGGGTTTGATCCCTGCCACTCCATGGGGTTCCCTGTGCCTGCCAGGAGTGATCCCTGAGCAACACCAGGGGTGGCCCCAAAACCAACCACCCCCACTCACCCCACCAAAAAAAGAAAAAAAAAATTCCTCCTTGGGTGGCCGAAAGACTAGAGGGAATAAAAAAGTTGTAGAACTGGAGAAGAGATTTGGGAAGGGGGGCGGGAGGGAGGAGAGGAGACACCTGGAAAAGGGATAAAAGGTAATTAAAAAAAATTAATGAGAGGGGCTGGAGTGCACAGCAGGTAGGGCATTTGCCTTGTATGCGTTCGACCTGGGTTCAATTCCTAGCATCCCATATGGTCCCCTGAGCACCGTCAGGGGTAATTCCTAAGTGCAGAACCAGGAGTAACCCCTGTGCATCGCCAGGCGTGACCCAAAAAGCAAAAATAAATAAATAAGTAAATAAATGAACTAATGAGAGGGGCTGGAGTGATAGCACAGCGGTTAGGGCATTTGCCTTGCACACGGTAGACCCGGGTTCAATTCCCAGCATCCCATATGGTTTCTTGAGCACTGCCAGGAATGATTCCTGAGCATCACCAGGTATGTCCCAAAAAGCAAAAGAGAGAGAGAGAGAGAGAGAGAGAGAAGGAAAAAAGAAAAAAAGTGCCTGCCATAGAAACAGGCAGGGGTGAGGGGTGGGGAGTGATGAAAGAGAACCTGGAGACACTGGTGCTAGGAAATGTACACTGGTGGAGGGATGAGTGTTGAAATACTATATGACTGAAATCCAATCATGAATGGCTCTGTAAGTGTCTCTCTCACAGTGATTAAAAAAAAAATTAAAATTAAAGGGGAAAAAAAAAAACAAGGCCTGGAAAGACAGAATTGGACTCAGACACTGGCTTCATGTTAGCAGACCTCAGTGGATGCCAAGCATTCCATAGAATCCCCTTAGCACTGAGCCAGGAATAGCCCCTGAGCACGACCAGGTATAGCCCAAACTGCCCCCACCCAATCGAAAAAAGAAAAAAGTAGGCGAATAAAAGAAGGGTCTAGCCTAGCGCAGATTGCTGATAAGAAATCAGCATGACCAAGTGTTTCTACACAGTGAGGAGAGGAGCCCCCCCTTACGTTATCTTCTGAGTCATGAAAGTGTCTGGTTCCCGGGCCGTGTAGATTCCGATTTCTGTCTGCACGGCTAAGTCTTCTGGCACAGACACAGTCTTTTCAGGAGGCACAAAGATGGGGGCCTCATTTACATCTTCCACGTCCACAGTTACGGTGGCCGTGGAGGTGGTCAGCTGGACGTCAAAGGGGGCTTCGTTAGTCACTACCACGTAGAGAATATACTGCTGCTTGGCCTCATAATCCAATTCCTAAAGAACAGGCAAAATGCAGGGGACATACACGTTAGGTGAGTTACCAAAAAAGAGAAAAATCCGTTATCACTGCTTTTGGTCAGCAACGTGCCAGTGGTGCTCAAATCAGGCTCATGAAGAATGAGTTTAAGAGCTTTTCCAGAATGGGAGTGCCGGCGCCCTGTGTTTACCAGGCTGATAGGGAAGCCACACAACCTGGCTTTCACGTTTCTAGGACATCTTTCGGAAACGCTCACTTTGGAAATGATCCATCGAAACAGCAGAAACTGGCACAGCCTGTCTCTTCTCCTTTGCAGAATGCATAAGGGGAAGCAAACGTTTCAGGGAAAGAGCCCGTTAAAAGTAGCGTCTAGTACTTCTTTCACCATAGGAGGCTGTGCAGGCACCTCCCACTTCTCCATGAGTACAGAGTGTCACGGCCAACCCTGGTGATGCATCAGAACCTGGGAGTGGGTTTGGGGGTCACCCACCTCTACTGCCAATACCATGCTAATAGAATCACTGCATAGAAGCAGTTCTGAGCAGCCCAGGGGACACAGGGACCAGTGGCCGACTGGGCCATCACCTTCGGCATCTCTGCAGGCACCATACAAACCTTAGCCGTTTTCAGAATGCCATCATTGGTTATGGGGTCTGTGGTGACAAAAAATTGCTCGTCTTTATCATTTGTGATGGTGTACACAGCCCTCCACGCCGGGGTATTGGGGGCATCAGCGTCAGTCACTTTGAGGACGGTGATCTTGGCATCAACTTCATTCTCAGGCACTGTGCCCTTGTACTGCAAAGGGAAGAAAGTAGGTAACTGGGTCATAGGAAATACTGAGACCCCACTGGAACCAGAACCCGAAGGGGAGCCTTTCTCCTTGTGAAAGGGCATCACACCTAAAACCCTCTGCCCTGGATGTTCTTTCACCTTCTCTCATCTCATGGTCCCCTGAGCACTACCAGGAGTTATTCCTGAGCGCAGAGCCAGGAGTAATCCCTGAGCATCGCTGGGCGTGACCCAAAAGGCAAACTCACTGTATCACTGTCCTGTTGTTCATCGATTTGCTCAAGCAGGCCCAGTAACTTTTGAGACTTGTTGTTACTGTGTTTGGCATACTGAATACCTCATGGAGAGCTTGCCAGGCTTTGCCGTGCGGGCAAGATACTCTCGGTAGCTTGCCAGGCTCTCTGAGAGGGGTGAAGGAATCGAACCCAGCTCGGCCAGGCTGGCTGCGCACAAGGCAAACGCCCTACCACTGTGCTATCGCTCGAAAAGGAAACAAAAGAAAAAAAAAAAAAAGGATGAGCAGTTCTCCTTATGTTTGTGGCCTCACGGGTCGCACCCAGTCTGATTCTTACAAAGCACTCTGAGCCCTATCTCTGGTTCCAGCTCGATTTGCTCAATTTCTAGAAGGCAGGTCTGACCACTGAGCCACCAGGGAACTATTCTGATGAGGCTGTTTTCCACGACACACGGGAGGACACAGACTCCGCGGGTGCTTTCGGAACTTCACAAACCCCGAGCCAACGGGCCCCTTCACCCTGCTTCCTTCCCCGTCCAAGTTCAGACCTGCTAGTCGGGAACAGTCCCTGGCACCCCAGGGGAACAATCCAGGGCCTTAGAATTACCGTGGTAGGGTTGAACACGGGGGCGTTGTCGTTGCTGTCCAGGACAGTGATCACAGCTGTGGCCGTCGTAATCAAGCCTTCCCCCTCCAAGTCAGCAGCCTGCACCACCAGCGTGTAAGTGGGGATAGTCTGCAGACGACAAACACACAGTCAGGCCGCATGGCCAGAGCAGGCCCGCCGAGGCTGCTGCCCGACACACACAGAGGCAAGCTCAGCCCTTCTCCCTCCATGACGTCCTCGCGGGTCTTTGGCTGTTTCCCGGAGCCTAAGCCGAGAAATCTATTTGTCCCCCCTCCCCCCACCTGCCACATGCCCCTGGCCCCTGACCTCCCGATCCAGTCCAGGCGTGGTCACTCTGATGACCCCCGAGACTTTGTCCACGGAGAACATCTTGGGCTCGGGCTGCGGGGGGTCCTGGCTGAGGATGCTATAGCCGATGGCAGCATTGTAGGTGGCCGGGTCGTCAGCGTCCGTGGCCGAGATCTCCATGACGGAGGTTCCTAAGAAGGGCAAGTCGGGGAGAAGACAAATGCTGAATCCATCAGGTCGCACTACGGGGCCGGGCAGTGCTGTAGAACCGTTCGACTCAGTCCTGAACTGGGACTGAGTCATCTCAGCTTCATTTGCTCTAACCTCCCCAATCAATGTTTTTATGGGGGTTTATTTGGGAGGCTACACCTGGCAGTGCTCAGGGCTTACTTATTCCTGGCTCTGTGCTCTGGAGTCACTCTTGGCTGGGCTCAGAGGACCCTATCGGATGCCGGAGATTGAACCCAGGTCAGATGCATGTAAGACAAGTGTCATAGCTGCTATACTATCTCTCCAGTACCTCTTCAATTAATTTTTCTTAATTAATTAGGGGTCTGCACCCACAGTGCTTAGGGACTACTCCTCGCTCTGTGCTCAGGAGACGATACATGGTACCAGAGATCAAACCATGGTGAACTGCATGAAGGCTAGCAGCATACTCCCCGGACTATCTCTCTGGCCCTCATCTCTCCAATTCTTACCCAAGTGGTAAGAGAGGACTCAGCACATCTTCTGGATGAGGAGGAGTTAGGAGGAGGTGAAGACAGAGGATGGGGAGTAAATAACTTTTTCCCTGTCTCCTGGATGTTATAAAAGTAAGTAAAGGCCCTCCCGTTGATCATCGATTTGCTCGAGCGGGCCCAGTAACGTCTCCATTGGAGATTTTGTTGTTACTGTGTCTGGCATATCGAATACGTCACGGGGAGCTTGCCAGGCTCTGCCGTGCGGGCGAGATACTCTCGGTAGCTTGCCGGGCTCTCCGAGAGGGGCGGAAGAATCGAACTCGGGTCGGCCACGTTGGCTGCATGCAAGGCAAACGCCCTACCGTTGTGTTATCGCTCCAGCCCTAAACTATAATATTTAAGTTAGAAGCAACAAAAAACAAAAGCAAAAATGGTTCCTGGATGATATGTAAAATGAAAAAAATTCCAGAAATTTCTGCAAAAGGCTTCCTGCTCCAGCTTCATCTCTGAGAATAATCATCTGAGAGCATAACCTTCAAGGTGGAAGAAAATAGTCACAGCACATTTCATCAACGCGGGACGAGCTCTGGAATCTCAGAAGAATTTCCAGAAATTCTAGGAGCTGGAGAGATAGCACAGCGGGTAGGGCTTTTGCCCTGCACGCGGCCGACCCGGGTTCGATTCCCAGCATCCCATATGGTCCCCTGAGCACCGCCAGGAGTAACTCCTGAGTGCAGAGCCAGGAGTAACCCCTGTGCATCATCAGGTGTGGCCCAAAAAGAAAAAAAAAAAATCCAGGAATTCTATTGTGTATATACCACATATTATTCATCATTTCATCTATCAATAGGCGTACAAATATACCAGAAGTGGAATAAATATATTATATTGGCAGTTCTATTCTTAATTTCTGTTTGGTTTTGGATTTGGGGCCATAACTGGCTCTGCACTCGGGGCTAAATCCTGGCTCTGCGCTCAGGATTCACTCCTGGAGGGGCTTGGAGGACCATATGGGCCATGTGCAAGGAAAGCATCTTACTTGCTGAACTATCTCTCCAGCCTCTATTTTTTAATTGGGGGAGGGGATGGTGGTGATGGGGCACAACCAACAGTGCTCAGGGATGACTTAAGAGTCTCTGCTTGGGGCTGGAGCGATAGCACAGCGGGTAGGGCATTTGCCTTGCACGCAGTCAACATGGCCGACCCAGATTCGATTCCCAGCATCCCATATGGTCCCCCTAGCACTGCCAGGCGTAATTCCTGAGTTCATGAGCCAGGAGTAACCCCTGAGCATCGCCGGGTGTGACCCAAAAAGCAAAAAAAAAAAGAGTCTCTGCTCATGGATCACTCCAGACAGGGCTTGGGGGACCATAATATGTGGGGCGAGGGATCTAACCTGGGTTGGCTGCATGCAAGGGAAATGCTCTGCCCACTGAACTGTCGCTGCAGCCCCACAACCCTCTCCACAGCTCTGAGAAATGGCCTCCATCAGAAAAGACAAAATATTTTGCAGTTCGCTACAACTTGGAGGGAACTGGATGGCATTCAAACACAGGATGATCTCACTCAACTGGGACAGGGAAAAGAAGCAAGCAGATGCACAGTATCAAATAATTGCAACCCTTGGTGCTGGAGGACAGAATTAAAAATAACAAATGGGGTGGGGGTTGTGGGGAGGGAGGGGGGCTGTGTTGTGACTGGACATAGGTTGCGCATCTTAGGCACTTTGGTGGTGATGGAGTAAGGTGACTGCATATATCAAAATCATACATATTAGCACTGTTCTGAATGTGACCTAAACTAGCACTGCACTGTCTAGCACTGTCCTTCTGTTGTTCACTGATTTGCTCAAGTGGGCACCAGTAACATCTCCATTGTGAGACTTGTTACTGTTTTTGGCATATCAAATACGTCACGGTTAGCTTGCCAGGCTTTGCTGTGCGGGCGAGATACTCTTGGTAGCTTGCCGAGCTCTCCGAGAGGGGCAGAGGAATCGAACCGGGGTCGGCCCAGGTCAGCTGCATACAAGGCAAGCTCCCTACCTGCTATGCTCTCGCTCCAGCCCTAAACTACAATATTTAAGTTAGAAGCAACAAAAAACAAAAGCAAAAATGGTCTCAACCAATTTACAATCCCATTAACATACGAAGGCTGACTCTTCTGCACACCCTCACCAACAATCCAATGGTGGTTGTTTAATGTGAGCCATTCTCAAGGTTGTGAGGTAGTATCAGCTTCTTAGGTCTGTCTGTCTCTCACAGAAATATTTTTCTCACACACATTTTCACTCTTTTGCACATGATATCACTCTCACTCTAATGAACACATGTTCTCACACAATCTCACCTACAATATCACTCTCACACACTCATATGTATCTCTATCACACACACACACACTTTCTCACACAAACACACACAATCTCTCACACACATTCTCAAACACACTTTCACTCTTTCACCCACGACATCACTCTCTAACACACACAAACTCACATACAACATCACTCTCCTACACTCACACATGTATGATATCTCTCTCAGGATTCTAAAGCTTGGCTAAGGGTGTGACTTCACACCAGCCTCAGCAACATTTTGGGGGTCAAAGACTATAGATGTCTTCCTGGGTCCTCGCTCTTGGACATACCTGGAAGAACCCCTTCTACAACAGAGCCCTCGAAGACCTGCTTGATGAACTGAGGCTTGTTGTCGTTCTGATCTGTCACCTTGATCACAATCTCCATGGGGTCCTCGATGGCGATCCCGTTGGAAGACACGGCGTGAGATAAGAGCTGCAGGAGAAGGAGGCAGTAAAGGCTCCTTCAGAGCGGTGTGGGGTACGGGTCTGGCCCTGAGGTGGGCTCCACCTCACCAGCTCCTTCACTTTCCTGAGACCCACATACATGTGACTGCTTCCGGGGGCTCAGACAGTGGAAGGGAGATGGGTTTGTTTTTTTTCCCGCTTTCTGGGTCACACCTGGCAATGCACAGGGGCTACTCCTGGCTCTGCACTCAGGAATTACCCCTGGAGGTGCTCAGAGGACCATATGGGATGCTGGGAATTGAACCCGGGTCGGCCATGTGCAAGGCAAATGCCCTACCCGCTGTGCTATTGCTCCAGTCGCCAAGGGAGATGGCTTTTAAAGGAACACCAATTGGAAAACATGCCGGCCAGGCTAAGCTCCCCAGGGCAGCGAAGAAACCCTCCATCCGACAGGAGAGAGCTGCTTGGGCTTCCCCAGATCTTCCTGCTCTCGGCCTCAGAGCACCAGCTCCTACCTTCCTAGGGCTCTTGCTCCTACCAAGCCCCAGAAACCCAGAAACGCAATGTGTATACACACACACACACACACACACACACACACACACACACACAATCACTGGCCTCTTCCTTTGAGTCAAAGACTTGGCACCCCAAATAAGCTGTCACTTTAGTTCTTAAGAGACGCTTGTGGTGTGAAGACTCATATCCCCACCCCCACGCCCCGCTCTTTATTCCTAACCAAGAGGAAATGAACCCTGCACCTGTCCCCACCTTCTCTTGTCACTTTAGCAGACCAGCGGGTGTCAGATTTAAGCTCCTCTGATCTAGGGAAGGGTATGGGATGACTCACCCCAGAGAAGGGCGAGTAACAAGCCCAGAAGGACTGAGGACTGGGCCGGGGATGCAGAGCCTTTGGCTGCACTGCCAACAGCAACGCCCACTCACCGTGTAATTGGCGATGTTCTCCCGATCCAGGGGCTGGGTCACCCTCAGCCAGCCTGTCTCTCGCTCAATGACAAACACGCCGAGAGGGGGCGTGTCTGCTCCCTGCCCGGTGATGCTGTAGAAAACTTTAGTCTCTTTGTCCCTGTTAGATTTGATCTGGAGAACACACAAGAGGAGGGTGAGTTAGTCGGGTGGGATGGGAGGGCAGCCGGGTCCCGCTCTCTCCTCGGTCCTCCCCTCGGGCCAGCTCCTCCCCCGGACAAGCCTGTCTCTGTACCTGCACCAGATCTTTAGGAAATGGGCCTTTCTCGTTTTCAGAGCAGCTGATGGGAGGGATGACCCAGTCTCTCTTCTGCCTGCGGAGACCATGGCTCAAGCTGCGGAATGTGAGCACTTCCGGCTGGGATCCAGCGACAGACTCCTGCAAGGGGAAGGGAAAAAGAGCAAGACTGAATGCTGGGTGGGTGGCACAGCCTGACTGTGTCTCTGGACTGCGTAACAGCAGGAACAGGGGCCAGAGACACAGTGCGGGGTTAAGACACTTACCTCGCAGGTCACCGATCCCAGTCTGAAAAACCTGCACCACATACAGTCTCCACCAGGGGTCGGTCCTGAATACAGCCGGGAATAATCCCAGAACACCGCCAGGGGTGCCAGGCTGCCCCCTCACCCCCCATTAGAACAAAATGAACAGCCCCGTCACGACCCAGTGACCCCTCAGCCATGGACTAAGGACCAGACTATCCTTTGATCTTCCTCAGTGGCCAGAGACGAACTCATCATTACGCGCAGTGATTACAGGCTTGCTATTATTTTACAAGTTCCTTCAGGCCTACTCATCACACCTGTCATTTTTTAATTGACAATATGCCCTGGTGATTTCACCTCAGAGCTGATTCAGCAGCTGGATGTTTCAGGGGCTTTAATTTTCTAGGGTTACAGGTCCCCCGGAATAGAGTGATCAGACAAAATGAGTGTGTTCGGGGAACCGATACTGAGAACTTCAGTGTGATCAATACAAATGCCTTCATCTCTCCCAATTATATCTATTTGGTTCAATCTACTCAAAAGGGCCGGGATGGGAACCAAAACCACCCCCGAGATTTGTATTGAACAGTTTTTATGGGTGATAAAGATAACTTTATGCACACGCAGGGAAATAAGATCATCGCAGATGGAGGAAAGGGAGCTTTGAAATCACTGCAGTGCTTGAGGGGCTGTGTGTACCTTGAGCACCAGAGACCTGGGGCCAGTCACAGCCCCGAGAAACCAGCCCCACCACCGAGGCGCTTCCAGCCTCCAGGTCTCCGAAGGTTCGAGGACCGGAACTCTCCTACTCCCACCTTCCATGATTACAGACTCCTGGTCCTTGAGCGTCGCTTGCCAAACGTATTTCAAACCCCATTTCCTAGCTTTTAAAGTTTGATTCAAAACACACACTGCGACCAGATACGATCAAAAAATCCTTCTAATCCTACATTCCTGTGTGCAGGTCACATACATGCCCAAACCCTCCCACTACCCCCTGCCCTGGCATTCCTGCATTAATCCAGACAAGTGGTCCCCCCACCCCAAACCCCACTGCAGCCAGCCTGCCTGCCTCTGGCTCCTCTTACAACATCCCCTCTTCTTTGGAAGATTTCTGGGAAGAACCCCTAACGGGGACAGAAGGGGCTAGGGAGATGACCCGAAGGGCTAGGGCACATGGCCTGCAGGTGGGAGGGCATGTTTAAAACTCTGGCATTGTGTGGCCCCCTCGGTACCATCAGGGCTGAGCCCTCCACACAATGCGGAGAGCAGCCCCTGAGCACTTCCGGGCGTGGCCCCAAATTCAAAACAGGAGCCAAAGCATGAGGTTACCGGTGCTGAGTGCTGAGTGGAGCTCGGAACGGGTTAGTCACCTGCTGGCACTCCCGGCCGAGCACTCAGCACGGGGCCTGGATCAAGCAGCCACTCGCAGCTGTCAGAAAAATTATGTCATGAAATTTGCCTATAAATGGATGGACAGAGAGAATTGTGCTGAGTGAAATGAGTCAGAGGAGAGGAACAGATAGAGAATGACTGCATTCATTTGTGGGATATTAAAAAAAAATAATAATAGTGTGAGACTAATATCCATGGCCAGGGAAACAGGGACTAGGAGGACTGGTCAATGGTTGGAATCTACCACGAGTGTGTTGGGACGGAGGGTGGGTAAGATAGAGAAGGGACCAGTATGACTAATAGCTGGACAAGAACTGAGTGTTGAAAGTAGGTAAAGGGATATTCTTGATAACCGTTCAGTATCTGTATTGCAAACCACAATGCCCAAAAGGGCGGGGGGAAGGGAGGGAGAGAAAGAAAGAGAAAAGAAAAGCACCTGCCATCGAGGCAGGCAAGGCTGGGGAATGTGGAGGGTGATGGGGGAGAAATTGAGGACACTGGTGCTGGGCAATGTACACTGGTGGAGAGACGGGTGTTGGAAGGTTGCATGACTGAAACCGAAGAATGAACAACTCTGTAAAGGACTATCTCACAGTGATTTAATAAAAAAAATTAAATTAAAAAAAAAAAGATGATGCTTTTGACAGTGAGTTGGTTTGGGATGTTGGGATGAGACACACCGCCCCCCACCCCGCCCCCCCATCACAGGAGCAAACTAGCGGTCAGGGGCCTTCCAGGCCCACAGAGTGAGTGCATAAGAATGAAGGCCAATGCAGTGTGTGCCACCCTGCAACTACAAAAAAATATGACTTTAAGACTTTTGCAAAGTCAATTAAAAAACATGTTTTCCATGTCGGTGCCCAACTGGAGAGAAAGAAAAGGAGTATGGCTGTAACAGGGTCACCGAACAGGCGGCACCAGCTGCCGATGCTTTGCGTGGAAAATGAAAACCCGAACATAGGGTTTGAGCCCTGGCTCCGCGTGGCCCCCTGAGAGTCCCAGGTGTGGCCCCTGAGTGTGGAGAAATAAAGGCAGAGGGTGGCAAGGGGGACTGTTCCTTACGCATACCCAATAGAGAAATCATCCCTTGGAGAGAGCCTGCCCAGGCAGAGAGGCCGACCCAGAAAGTTGGGGCCGGAGCGACAGTACAGTGGGTGGGACACTTGCCTTGTAAGCAGCTGACCCAGACTTGATCCCCGGCACCCGTATGGTCCCCCAAGCACCACCAGGAGTGATTCCTGAGTGCAGAGCTGGGAGGAAGCCTTGAGCACTGCCACGTGTGGCCCCCAAAACCAGACACACTAAAGATTTAAGTTAGATCAAGGGGTTCCTGCCCCTCCCCGCCCCAGGACACTCACTGACCGTGTCTGGAGGCATTTCCAACTGGGAAAGTCTCCGGCATCGACCCCAGTGACCCAGGGACTGACGCCGGAACTGCAGGACCACAGGCGTGAAAAAGGTCAGAATTTCCTAGACCGCCTTGGCTGAGAGTGTGGGTCGGGGGGAGGGGTGCAGCACGGGCGATGGCCCTCAGAGGCAAGAAGACTGGAGATTGTTGACCCCAGCCAGGGGCTAAGACCAGGGGTGCACTGGATATTCAATTACCCACAGGACAACCTGCATGACAACCCTATAACAAATGTGTGACCTGTGGTAACGGGAGCCTGGGATTAGGCAGAGGACCCGGTGAGTATCAGGGCGCCCGAGAGGCAGCAGGGGATTAAGGCCCCTGCCCTGTACTCAGCTGACGTGGTTTTGTCCAAAGGCATTGCCAGGAGTGATCCCAGAGCGCGTGATCCCACACTTACAGTTGTGGCCCCCAAAAGAAGAAGAACGGGGGGAAAAAAGAAAAGCAAGTGAAAAACTCACCTCCTCCAAACTCCCCAGGGGGCGCGGATACACGCGGTGGAGGTGGTGGTGGTGGCGGCGGTGGCGCTGGCGTTCTGAGAGCTTCAGGGTGACCCTGGCGGAATGCTTCTGGAAGGAGGCGTCCCAGCCGTGCACCAGGAAGCTCAGCTCGGGGTTATGCAGCCGCACGGGCCGCTTGACCGAGACCACGCCGTTCGTGTCCACCTTGAAGCGGGTGTCCTCTGCGTTATAGACCGTCCTCGGCAGACCAGTACATCCCTCGAAGGTCACTGTGGGGAAGAAATCACAGCCGTTGGGAACCGGGGCAGACTGAAGGGAGAAGACACCCCCCCCCCCCCCCCGCCAAAGAGTGAGCTGAGTCAGCCCCCCAACGCCCGGCGCACTCACGACAAGCACCGGCACATCCGGCCCCACGCAAGTGAGAGGCAGCTAAGGTATGTGAGCAGTGAACACCGTCACCGTGAAAGCAGTCCCCACACCCTGGGGCCCCCTAAATTCTGGCCGCCTGTGCCCCTGAGCAATACACACACACACACACACACACACTCTCTCTCTCTCTCTCTCTCTCTTTCTCTCTCTCTCTCTCTCTCTCTCTGAGTACAGACTCTCAGGGACCAACTACGAGGGTTCAAACCCTAGTTCTGCTTTTAAGTTCTGTGCCCTTGGGCAATTACTTGTGCCTCCATGTACCCAACTGGAGAAATAAGGCACCGATAGCAGCATCATTTAAGATACATAAACTAGCGGTTGGCACATAATGTTAAAAGAGGTTCGACAAAAGCCTGAAACAGCAGGTCAGGTGTAGGTCTGGCAGGTGCTGACCCACGCCCGATTCCAGGCACCACGTATGGTGGTCCCCCAGGTACCACGGGACTGACCCCTGAGCACCATGGGGCGTAGCTCCAAAACAAAATAAATAAATAAATAAATAAGGGGTTGGAGCCATAGCACAGCAGGAAGGACACTTGCCTTGCACGTGGCTGACCCGGGTTCAATCCCCGGCATCCCATAAGGTCTCCTAAGCCTATCAGAAATGATCCCTGAGTGCAGAGTCAGGAATAAACCCTGAGTGTCACTGAGTCACTGAGTGCAAACAATCAATCAATCAATCAATCAATGGAATAAGGATGCGAGGAGCAAGGGGCAGGGCTAACTGAGGATGGTGCTGCGGCTGCCCCCACGCCAGATGGGAGTGCTAACCCAGCAGTGCGGCTCTTTGTGACCCCGGGTGCCACAACCAAGTGTGCGTAGCCCCACTGGCTCCTCCACTACTGACAAACAGGAGGGGAACTGCTTTTTTGTAAATGCCACTTAGGCCTATCACTTCAATGAGTATTCCACCAACAGACACGGAGAACGGTGAGTTGAGTGCCGGCTCGCAGTCCAGGAGAAGCCGGCTCTGGCCAGGGAGGGGGCTAACACTGGCTGGGAGCAGTCTGCGCCGGGCCCCAGGGAAGGGCCACAAGACAAGTTCAGGAGACACAGACAGACCATTCGGGTCGGGCACTGCCAATGCAGAGACAAAGCTACTTAAGGCATGACAGCTCTGAAAGCATTCGATGAGAGAAGTGAGCTAGGTCCAGGTGAGCTAGGCATGGGGACCCACAGACCCCTGGCTCGGCGGGTGGAGGCCCGCAGGCTGGAGACACAGGAGTGATGGGGAGAGGAGCCTCAGGAAGGTGTGACTCGCCAGAGGGTCCTCCGGGAAGGAGACGCCCGGCAGAAACCTGCCTTCCCAGCAGAGGAAATAGCTCCAGATTATTCTTGTGTTGGCTCATCTGGAAGGCCCCGCAGCCTTCTGAGACAATGCCTTTTTTGTCCAGGTGGCTCTTCTGTAACAATTCCATTCCTGCTCTCCCCTGACGTTTACAAGACTGGACACACATACCGCAAGGTCCCTGCCCTCCCGCCCTCCCCTCCTGCCTGGGATGCAGTTCTCATTTTCCCCACCAGGGGCCACTCTCGCAAACGCATGGGACGCCAAGGGCCCCACCCTTGGTCAGAGAAAAGGAGACCAAGCTAGGAGCACCAGGTCATCCCCACTGTGAAAAGGAAGAAAGTTAAGTTTGCATGGCATCCAGCAACCAACCAGTGAACAACCCAGCTGGGACAGGCCCTTGCCACACGCTCACTTGCAAGACAAAGAAAGACGGGCGCGCACATACATACACACATACACACACACACACACACACACACACACACACACACACACACACACACCACAAGGACGGTGAGGGGGAGGAAGCAATGCCCAGTGGTACAATGCTCAGGGGGCTCAGGGCCACTTCTGGGTCTGTGCTAAGTAGGGGTCACTCCTGGCAGTGCTCAGGGGACCATATACAGAGCTAGGGATCAAAATCAGCACTGAGCTGGTGACAGTACATAGGTAGGGTGCTTGCCTTGCATACTGCCAACCTCGGTTCAATTCCCTCCACCCTGTATGTTCCTGAACATTGCCAGGAATGATTCCTGAACACAGAGCTAGGAGTAAGCCCTGAACATCGCCAGATGTGACCCAAAAACAAAAACACAAACCAGCATGGACTACATTGCAAGGTGTCGGACACCTGCTATAGGTGCCCCTTAGCCCTGGACCACTGTTGAAGAGTTTTGCCACTGAGCTAGGATCCCAAGGGAGGAAACCCGAGGTCATCTCATGCCAGGAGTTTCTCTCTGGCCAATCAATGGATCAGCAACCACAGGAAAAGTGGGTTCCCAGGAAGGAACCTGGGCTCCCTCACAAGTGATGCAGAAAAGGATCAAAAGGATCAAATTTCCCACTCCTAAAATTGCCCTTTGGCTAGTTGGAAAGCATGCTTCCCAAACCTAAAGGGTGGTGTAAGCAGAGGCTGTAACGAAGGGAGAGAGAGAAGGCAGGGCTGCTGGGTGCCTGGGATCCAGTCATAAGCCAGTGGGTAGGGCGCCTGCCTTGTACCTGGCCGACCCAGGTTTGATCTCCAGCACTCCACCAAAAGTGACCCTTAAGAACAGAGCCAGGTGTGGCCCTAAAAAATCAAACAAATCGATAAATAAACCAGGAGTCCTTGCTGGGAGTCCTCAGGAAAAAAGCTTAGCCTCTCTGGAGGAGTTTCTCTGTGCCCGTTTGAAGGGTGTCATCACTGACAGTCCAGGGATTCGAAATCAGATCAGTTGGTGAACAGGGTCTCGTTTTGAAGGTGAAAGAGATGGTGGCATCTGTAGGTTTAGACGGGCAAGCCGGGAAGGAGGACTTGCTCAACGGGCAGACGAGCCATCGAATGGCCAGTGAGCCACAAAGTGCAAGGGAAGCCCAAGGCTGGACAGCTACTGCCCGAGTCTAAATGAGGGTTTCTGGGGCCAGGGAGACAGAGCAGGGAGGAAGGCATTTGCCTTGCACACCGCTGAGCCAAGTTCAAATCCCCAGCACCACACGTGATCCTGAGAATCCCACCAGGAATGACCCAAACACAGGCCACGAGCACCACTAGGTGCTATGTACCCCCCTCCCCGCCAAAAAAAGTAAAGAAATGACTACGAAATAATAAATAGGGTTTCTTAGTGGGGAAGGCAAGGAGCGGGGGAGGGGGGGTAAATACTGGGTGATACCCAGGGACAACTCCTGGACGAGGTGGGGCTGGGGACCCACCCTGGGGTTCCTGAGGGTGAAGCTCAAGCACTTGCCTGGGTCTGCTCCCACGGCTCCTCCCACTGACCTTTCTTTCTTTGGTTTCCTGGGACTCTAACTTAAGTGCTCCTACACACAAGGAAAGTGCTCTACCACTGGGCCATACCTTCGCCCCAAAACCCTTTGTTTTCCCCTTTGGGGGCAGGAGCACACCTAGTGATGCTCAGGATTTACCCCTGGCTCTGCACTCAGGGGGACCAGACGGAGGCCAGGGATTGAACAAGGGTCAGCCCTGTGCAAGGCCGGCACAATACCCACCGTCCTATCACTCCAGCCACACATTCCTTTCAAACTTTTATGGTAGTTCAGGTGTGGTTTGCTACAATCGTGTTCAAAGGTATTATGGTATGTATGGCTGTACAAAGTTAAGGCAAAACAGTTTCTTTTCAACGAGCAGAACAGGGATATTTTAGGAACAGCCCTCCCCCCCCCAGAAAAGAAATGGGGGTGACTGGGCTGGGGAGGGGGGTGGGTAGGCGGGGACTTGTCACAGGAGTGTGAGGGCTCTCAAAGGAATTCCTTAGCCCAGCCAGCCCGAATCTGGGCAGTGAAAGTCGGGAGCATGACGGGACTCGCCAAGGGTGTGGGCCCGAGAGGATGGAGATACTTCTGCAAATAACTTGACGCAAGACTCCGGCGCTCAGGCAGCTTTGGGGCATCTGGGCTCAAGGGTGGGCAGGCCCCACCCACCCGGGGCTTGCGGACGGGCAGCCCCAACCTGAATTTCCAGGTGCTCCTGCAGGCCCATTATCTGCCTGGGCGACGGGATCTGCTGGGCAGATAAACTAGAAATTAGGGAAGGCTGAGGGGCTCTCCAGCTGCCGGAAGGCTCTGGAAGCTCACTTGGACCCCCCTAGGCTGCGGCAGAGTGTGGAGAGAGCAACACCCCACCCCGGAGCAGACGGGGCCGTTTCAAAGGCTGAGGCCGCGACATGTGGGAAAACATTTTTTGGAGCAGTTTCTGAGTAAAACTTAAGCAAAGACGGAAGTCAGCCTGGACTCGGGATTCACCTACTGATGCTCTCTAAACTGCCCACTGGCCACTTAGCCCTGAAACCAAAGCCCAGTGACAGAGGCACGAGCACTGTGACTATCTCTAAATGACAAGAGATTTAAAAAAAAAAAAAAGCACCATAATGTCACCTTTGAAAATTACAGGGGCTGGAGCACAGCAGGGAGGGCGTTTGCCTTGCACGCGGCCAACCTGAGTTCAATCCCCGGCATCCCATATGGTCCCCCAAGCACCGCCAGGAGTAATTCCTGAGTGCAGAGCCAGAAATAACCCCTGAGCATCGCTAGGTGTGACCCAAAAAGCCAAAAAAAATAAATAAATAAAAAATAAAACCCCAGTCTGAGAGATGTCTACCCCCACAAAAAATAAATAAATAAATAAAGACTGGCCATAAGATCCAACAATTCACTCCTAACTATCTATCAAAGGAACACAATAAAATTCACATGATAGCTTCAAGATTCAAAAAAAAAAAAAAAAAACCTTACACACACCTGTGCTCCTTTCAGCGTTCAATAGCCCAGACCTGGAAATAAGGCCGGAAACAGATGAGCGTCCATCTACAGGGTAGATGTGGGCATACACACAAT